AGATGAGCATTAATACAGGTCACTGAAATGAAAACATCAATGAACAGAGAGCAGTTTCCTGCTTTTTCAGTACTTTGGAGAAAAAAAAATTAGAGATTAAGAAAACTTAAGAAAATATATATTTTAAAAGGAGGCAAGGAAACCAGTGGCAGTTTAATCCAGTAGGATCTCACTTGGTCCAGGTTGCTTTGTAGGAATTCAGTGGGTTTTCTTCTTCAGAGTTTTGTAAGAGCTCCTCTTACATTTTTAGCTCTATTGTATGAACTGTTGCATAAACTTATTTTACAAGACTGTTACTTCCTCAAAGCATTGTAAGAGAAAAGCAAAAATGCAATCCTGCTGCAGACAAAAGAGGAGGAGGAGGATGGAAAGATGAGATGAAGGAGGAGGAAAGTTCCCAGGAAACAAATGACAGGATGAGAGAAAAACAGCATCAAGTTGAGCCAGGGGAGTTTAAGGTTGAATATCAGCAAAACTTTCTTCACCTAAAAGGTTGTCCAGTCCTGGCACAGCTGCCCAGGGCAGTGGCGGAGTCCCCATCCCTGGAGGGATTTAACAGACATGTAGATGTGGCACTTGGGGATGTGGGTTAGTGATGGCTGGGGAAATGGTTGGACTTGTTGATCTTGGAGGTCTCTCCCAACCTTAAGGATTCTGTGACTCTGTGATTCTCTAAACCTGCTCTCCTTCAGCTTGAGGCCATTGCCCCTTATCCTGTCACTCCATGTGCTTGTCCAGAGTCCCTCTCCAGCTTTCTTGGAACTTCTTTAGATACTGGAAAGGGCTCTAAGGTGTCCACAGACCCTTTTTTCTCCTCCAGACTGAACAAGCCCAGCCTGTCTCTGCAGCAGAGATGCTCCATCCCTCCGAGAATCTCCGTGGCCTCCTCTGACTCGCTCCAACAGGCCCACGTCCTTCTTGCACTGGAGGCCTCAGAGCTGGATGCAGCAAAATTGGGGTGTCATGAGAGCAGAGCCTTTTTTTCATGTGTTCATTTCATGTGTGTGCCAGAGGAGCTCTGGGCTGCAGACTCTGGTGGCCCCCATTGTTTGCACCCCAGGGTTCCACGCAAACCACTTCTGGATCTGCACAGGGCCATGAAACACCCCACCAGTTCAGTTTTAGCAAAGTCTCTAGGACACGAAACAGGTAATTTTTTTTGGCAGTGCCCTTCGTAAAATATTTTGCGGTTGGAACAAAGGGGAGATGTAAAAAGTTTTGAGATAATTAAAATATGTGACTTCTGGCTCACATCGGAGAGAAAAATCAAGTATAACATCTTGCAAAAGGGCTTCCTATGAAACCAGAAAGATTTGTTTTGATGCAAAATGACTGGATGTTGTTCAAAATGACCTCTAGAACAGAGATTGGTTCAAATTCAGCTGGGAAGCTGCTTTGCAAGGAGAGGAACAGGCTCCCTGAATCCATAACATTTCAACCTGAACTCGTTTGCTCCTCAGCAGATATTTAAGCAAAATGCTTATGGATGAGCAGAAGGAGGGCACTGATGTGATTTGGAGGAGTCTACACAGAACACTCCTGGTCAGAAGGCAAAGATCAAATTTCCATGAAATCTACAGCTCTAGGGATTGTGAACTTGTGTTTTCAGATGGGAAGACGGGTACAATTCTTTAAGAAGGGGGAAGGTGGAAATGGCCCCATCCTACTGCTCTGAAATAGTGGTTGGTGGGCCTGTGGGTTACTGGGGTGAGTAACTGATGCATTAAACTCTTCTCACCAGATTAATTTATGGAGATGTGCAATATTTTTTTCACCGTGACCTTTTTGGGTTTGCTTTGACAATTTTTCTCTCTCTGAAAATTTAGGTTTGTAACCTGATGTGCAGCACATTAATCTGTTTACAAGGATAAATGAGTGAACATTGTTATTGTTTGGATCTCTTTCATGCAAAAGGAGAGGGGGACAGAACAGCCCCCTTCTCACCTCAGCATGCCCTAGTGAGTCACTTAAACTCTGCACAAGCTGAACCATCCAAACAATGTGACCCACTGCTGGGTTTTTTTCTTTTCTTTTTCTGAGCAGCTGACCCAGCTTCAAAGATGTGACTCATGGCACCTCCAGCACAAAGATCAGGAGTAGTTTCTGGGTCGATGCAAGAGCCCCACAGGACACAAGGAAGATGAGGATGGGAGGAACCTGGCTGGGTCTGCCCCTGGGACACCTGCTGGCTCTGGGACACAGGCACAAATGGAGAACCATGGTATTTAAAAAACCCCTCTTGTTGTTATTCTCTGTCACCTGACATGGACACATATCTGCTGCTTCTCCACTCGGGCTCGGTGGGTCTAAATCATGGTTTGTGAGACGCCGAAAATGGGGAGGAGGTTTGAAGCATCAACCAAGGTAACCTGGATGTGCTTGTGTGGGTTTCTGAGGATACAGTGGCTTAGGGGGAAGACTAAAGTAAACAGGAGTGTGAATTTGATGGCCAGCAGAACATCTTGTGGGGATGGCATGAGGAGAAATGAGTGTGGTTGACTGCCCTGAAACAGGCAGCTTCCAAGCAGAGATGCCCTGGCTTTGAATCCCTATGCAGGGGGTTTGGTGCACAACACTGAAAGGAGACAGTTACTACTGAAAGGAATTAGATATTGTTTTTATTAATGTGCTGTTCTTTCCTGCTTCTTTCAGATGGATTTCAGAAAGTTCAGGCTGTTTTTTTGCCTCCTCGGGCTCAGCTGTGGCAGCTTCTGGTTTTTTTACAACTGGACCGAGTTCTGCGTGTTCTGTGAGAACAGCCAAGGTTACCTGTTCCCCACAGAGCCTTTCAGGAGGATAGAAGGAAACTTCTCCCAGCTCCCAGACATCGACTGCCACAAGGACCCTCCTTTCCTCGTCCTGCTTGTGGCATCCTCGTGCCAGCACCTGGATGCCAGGATGGCCATCCGGCAGACCTGGGGCAAGGAGAGGACAGTCGCCGGGAAGCGCCTGGTGACCTATTTCCTCCTGGGAAGCACTGTGGATCCCAGCCAGCAGGCTGACATCGCTGCTGAGGGCCAAAAGTACAGAGACATCATCCAAAAGAACTTCTCAGACACTTACTACAACCTGACTTTGAAGACCATGATGGGAATGGAGTGGGTTCACAGGTTTTGTTCCCAGTCCAGCTTCGTGATGAAAACCGACACAGACGTGTTTGTCAACGTTTTTTACCTCACTGAGCTGCTTCTAAGGAAGGAGAAGGCCACTGGGTTCTTCACAGGCTTTTTAAAACTGCATGAGTACCCCATAAGAAGAAGAGGGAGCAAGTGGTACGTGAGTAGGGAAGAGTATCCAGGAAAGACCTACCCACCCTTCTGTTCCGGGACTGGATATGTTTTATCCAGTGATGTTGCCAGTCAGATCTATCATGTTTCTGAGAGCGTTTCGTTCATTAAGCTGGAGGATGTGTTCATAGGACTGTGCCTTGCCAAACTAAAAATCAGGCTGGAGGAGCTCCATTCAGAGCAGACGTTTTTTCCAGAAAGGATCAGGTTCTCCGTTTCCCGCTTTAAGAAAATCGTGATGTGCCACGAGGTGGAACCACCCGAGCAGCTGAGCTACTGGAACCACTTGGTGACAGAAAACCATGGAGAGGTGCTCTAGCACCTTCCCTGCCGGAATTAACACACTGAAATCAATCCTTTGCTTTTACAGGGCTGCTCTTGACCCCAGCAAAACTCCCAGTTAACTCCAGGTCCAGCACGTTAGAGACTTTTTAAATGGTTATTTTAATCATAGAGTTATTAAGGTTGGAAGAGACCTAAAAGATCATTAAGTCCCCCCTTGGACCTTATGAACTAACCCATTGTACTGAGTGCCACATCCAGTCATTCCTTGAACACCTCTAGAGATGGGGACTCCACCACGTCCCTGGGAAGCCCCTTCCAAGGCCTGGCCACTCTTTCCAGGAAGAAATTCTCAATTTCTGCCCAAGAACATGCAAATCCCTTTCTCTCCCACTCACTCCATTGCATCCCTTCTCTACACAATTATTATTTTCTGGAAGATCCAGGCCTGCAGCCCTGCCCTCCAAATCCTGCTGCTAAAGGACTGGGAACGTTCCTGCAGTGCTAAACTTAAGTCAAAGCACTTTTTGTTCAGAGACTAAAATTTGCACCATCCTCCTGGTGGCCCCTGATAGATTCCTGCACCCATCTGTGCAGGTATTTAAGGAGTGGTATTTGGAGCTGTCAGGATGCTCCTCTCCTGGCAGAGGGAACCACAGCCCTGCCCTTGCAGCGGGCTCTGTGTGGGCAGAGCTGCATCCTGGCACAGATCCCTCCTTCAGTCTCCACACAGGGTTTTTTTTGCAGAGATGGAAGAGTTTTCCCATGCAATGCTCTCGGGACAACCTTGGCGACTGCAGGTCACCTGGTGAACATGTAAAGCTGCTTCATCTGTTCCTTTGGATGTGTCTCCTGCTGAAAATACCTGTGGTGGAGCCAGTGGAGGGTGTCTTTGATTAAAATAGACCCCAGAGACACCTTTTATATTTGTGGCTCACTTTGATTGCCTGAAAGCTTCTGTAAATGGTTTCCCAAGGCTAAACTAGAGTCACTTAAGGTGATTTAGACATTTTTTTGCTGTGAGAAACTGGGCACGTGAGGGAGAAGACAGGAGGATTTTTGTCTTTTAAACAAGACCCAGAGGGATAATGTGCTCAAGTGATTCCTCAGGCTGGGAGCCCTGTTTCTCCTTTCATTCCCAAGCAAAGATCATGAAATCTCTGGGATGTTTGTAGATTCCAGAGGCAAAGAATTGAGTCTTTACAGTAGAAGATGCGAAAAATACTTTTGGGCTGTGAGGAGGGAGAAAGGAGCTCCTAAATCCTGCCTTATGCTCCTCTTTTGATTTTCTTTCTCACACAGGAAAGGTCAGTTTTATCAGCAAAGAAGTAGCAAATGCCTGTAATATGTGTGAAATGTTATTTTTTTTTTCTCAGGGAGCAGTAAAAGTGGAGCTGTTCCCAAGGGGAAAGTGGTCTGGGAGCTGAGGAGATTTGACAACTAGAAAGGCTCATCCCCACACACCCACACGAGGGAGCAGGAGGAAAGACAGGGAAAGAGATTTTATTACTTTATTTTTATTGTTTCTTTTTATTTTTATGGGTGTTGGACTGTTCAGGTGTCTCTTTTTACTTGCCTGTGTCTGAAGAGCAGGACAAATATTTTCAGCAGGAATATGCCCCAATCTGAAAAGTGTTTAGTAACAGTAATAATATATTATTTATTCTCTTCTGCTGTGGAGTAACCTGAGCTCATGCACTGATTTTTGACCACTGATGATGAAAAAAATATATTTATTTGTTTGGCAGAAGAATAACCTTCTTCATTTTAATCTTCTTTATTAAACTTTAACTATTTTATTAAAATAAATGAAATATTTAAACAACTCAGTTTTATTTAAAATTCAGCTATTTTCTGAATACTTTTGCGGCTGGTGAGATGGGTCAGGCTTTTTAATCCCCGTTCTTTCCATGTAACCTGCAGAAATGCCTTTTGCCATTCACTGCCCTTGTGCCCAAGGTGCAGGCTGGCTATTCCTTTAATTTATGGAAAAATGGTGAGCAAAAGGAATGCTTCCTGGTCTTTCCTAACTCCCTGTCTTGTGGGATGGAGGATCTGTGAGCTGGGACAGCATAAGCAGCCCGATGTCATCTTGGCCTCTTCTTGNGTGGGTATTTTTCTTGGCAAACAACGACTCCCTCCATGTTGTTAAACCATTGAAAATAGCTAATAAGGTTTTACTTAATTAAATGGCTCAAGGCCTCACAATGCTGGTCGTCACTTTTTCCCTTCGCCTCGCACGGCTGTGACATCCCAGATGGGAATTACCCCGCCCTGCTCTGGACAGGGAGTGTACTGAGAGCGGCTGCAGAGCTACTGATAAATAATAATAATAATAATAATAATAATAATATAATAATCCTGCAGTTGCTTGTAGGTCTTACTTCCAGCTCTGTGCCTGCTGCCAGCTTTGTCCCAGCTGGCAGGACCAGTCCAGCTGTGCAATCCCAGGGATCTTTGTCTCCATTTGCATGTGGGTGTGTTGAGCTGTTCACCTCCACGGGGCGTTGACATCCAAGAGCTGTGGTGGCTCCTGCAGCTTCTGCTCTTCCCTCAGGCTGAGGCTGTGGGAGAGGAGAAAGTTTCCCTTCAGGAGCCAGAATGTTGGGTTGTTTCCCTGGACTGTGGCTGCTTGTGAGTGGCACTAAGATATGTCCCACCCCAGCAGTTTGGGGCTTTGTATCAGCATAAAAAAAGTTACCCCTGAGGGCCAAGTTCTGCTTGACCTCTTGGCTGTGGCTTTTACTTTAGTTCAGGAGTGTTCCCAATTACTTGGATACAGCCACTAACTGGGAAGATGGTGCTATTCTCTCTTAATCACTTCTGCAGACTCTACCACTACATCTTTGGGGCTAAATTCAAGTGCAAGATGTCCCTGCCCAGTAGGTGATTTTTATGGTCCCTTCCAACCCAACCCGTTCTGTGATTCTATGAAATTCAGCTGCTCTGCTGAGGAATAAGGTCCTCAGGAATGGTCTAAGAAACCATCCCATTCTGGAGCCTGTTTCCACTGATTATATGTTGCCAAGCCTCTGATGGCCTATCTATAAGCATTTTGCTTAAATCTTTGCTGAGGATCAAATGAGTTCAGATTGAAGTGTTATGGATTCAGGGAGCCTGTTCCTCTCCTTGCAAAGCAGCTTCCCAGCTGAATTTGGTTGAGAACTGGCTGGTTTAGAACTGATTTTGGTTGCTGCACATAATTTTTCTCCACGCCTGATTTTCTCTGTGCTCACATCAATTAGAAATTGATTCTGTAATTCGTAGAATCAAAGAATTGTTTAGGTTGGAAAAGATCTCCAAGATCATCCAGTCCAACCATCAACCCAAGACTGCCAGGTCCACCCCTAAACCATGTCCCTTAGCACCACATCTACACTTTTTTTTGAGCACCTCCAGGGGCAGTCATTCCACCACTTCCTTGGGCAGCCTGTTCCAGTGCTTGAACACCCTTCTTGTGAAGAAATTTTTCCTAAAGTCCAAGTTAAACCTCCCCTGGTGCAACTTGAGGCCGTTTCCTCTTGTCCTGTCACTTGTTACCTGGGAGAAAAGACCAATCCCCACCTTGTCACAACCCCCTGAGCCTCTTTTTCTCCAGAGTAAACCCCCCCCCCCAGCTCCCTGGGTTGCTTTAAATAAGAATATGTTGAATTAACAATAATTAGACCTGCTGGAAAAGGTGATTTAAGAAAAGTAAATGATTGCATGTAAGGCAAATTCATTTATTTAAACAAAACCACTGAGCTAGTGACTTTATGAAATTAGCTTTTGCAGCTTAGGCCTCAGATCATGAATTTTAACACAATCAAAACAGTATTAGTGGCCTTTTGCTAAATTTTATATATTTTCCTATGAAATACCATCACAAAGTGAACAGAAATATAACTGGAACTGTAAACACAATACTGCAGTGTACATAGGCTTGTTTTTTAAGTTTTGTATGGGCTAATAAAAGAATTTAGGCTATTTGGGGGCAGTTTGTCTGTGAAAGCAGAGCCCTCCCCTAACATCTTTATGCTTTCTGGGTCAGAAGATCATTACATCATTTTTTTATGAATAGCTATGAAAAGGTCAGCTAAAAGTTACTCCATTGCTTCTCATTTAAATGGGGAGGAGTGAAGAATAACAGAGCTGACACAGAGTTGGTTAAAATTGTGTATCTCAACACACTCTATTTCTTCCAAGATCATTTTTTGAATACAGAAAAATTAATGTTTGATTGTTTTTTTTTCCCCACAACTTTCATCAACCAACATAGTTTAGAATAGCATTGTCCAAAATGTGCAGGAAGGATTTGGTCTCTCAGCTCCTCTGGTTCAGCCTTACCCAGGAGGTACAACCCTGCCAGGCACTTCTGGGAACACAGGGGAGATTTTTGTAATGAAACTTTTGCCTTCTGTCAGAGCTGAACAGAACACAAAGGGCTGCACTGGATCTGCCAGGAATGCTGCTCCTCTTGGGTTTGTGCAGGTCACTGTGTGATGTTGACGTAAAACATGTGAGAATGTTTGCATTATTGGCATAGAAGATGGGAATGTTGAGATATTCCATGAATGATATTTTAGTAAAGTATTTTGTTACCACAGTTTTGTGTGTTCACTTATCTTTCTGGTTGTGACTGTGTTAATATTTCGGGATGTGGTCAAGTTAAGTAAGGGGTTTGCTCTTTTTCCAGTCAAAATTAATAGAATCTTGGAATCATTTAGGTTGGAAAAGACCTTTAAGATCATTGAGTCCAACCACTAGGCCATCACTGAACCATGTCCCCAAGTGCCACATCTACATGGCTTTTAAATCCCTCTAGGGATGGTGGCTCCATCCTTTCCCTGGTAAGCCTGTCCCAATGCTTGACAATCCTTCCCAGGAAGAAATTCTTCCTAATATCCAGCGTAAACCTTCCCTGGCTCAAACTGATGACATTTCATCCTGTCACTTGTTGTCTGAGAGAAGAGACCGACACCCCCCAGCTCCCCACTGCTGTCAGGGAGTTGCAGAGCCAGAAACACAGAATCACAGAATCAGCTGGGTTGGAAGGGACCTCTGAGATCATCAAGTCCAACTCTT